AAAAAAAAAAAAAAAAAAAAAAAAAAAAAAAAAAAGAGAACTGCAAAACTGGAAGGGACCCTAAGAGGTCTATATAAGCTACATTTCACTCCAGTGAAACAGGATTAAGAAGAAGAAGTCTGAGGAATATTCCATTTGCTCTTAACATTTTTAGTAAAGGAGATTTCACATCCTTGCCAGTAGCCTATTCTTTACACTGTACATTATAGACAGATCCTCTCCTAAGAGCCAATGCCTTTATTTTGTTTGTTTGAAACAATTCTCCCTTGTTTAACTAGTCTCCTATGTTTCATTTGAAACAAATTACTACTTCTAGTTAGTGAATGTTTAATGGTAGTTCACTCCATGGTGAAAAACTGGTAAGTATTCTGTTTTGTAGCATACTCTTCTCATATCTCCCTTCAGTTTTCTCTGAAAATGATGAGTTCTTCAAAAGGTGCTTCAAAGATTACATTTCCAAAATTTTCATTGTGCTCTTCTCTGCTTTGTTTTTTTTTTTTCTATGTAATTAATACAATGGCTTGAACTGAACACAGAGATTCAGCTCTGGACTTGATAGGCCTAAGTAGAGTGAGATAATTACTTTCTCTCTTTTAAAAATTACTTAATTGTTAATATGTACAAGAATATATTTGCATTCTTTTGTAAATGTACCATGTTGGCTTTTTTCTATTCTGTTATAAACTTCAAACCCTGTTCTGCAACACTTGTCTCAGCTATTGTTTTCACTGAACATTCTCATGAAGATGATATCTTGCATATATATATCTGTACTGAATTTTGTCTGATTTCATATCAATTTATAAAGGTTATTTGGATCTTAACCTCATTCTCCAAATGCGTGTTTTCCCTCATCTTGAAAATTGCTGGAAAATTGTATGAGTTACAATATGCTCCATTTTTTAGACTATTAGTGAAAATGCTGAATGTTACCTGATTCAGAACAAAGCCTGAACAACTGTACTTGACCTACATTTTCATTCTTTACTTCAGTTCATATTAATACAACTCTGTGCTTAAAGTGTTAAAACATGACTTCAAAAACCTACCTGGTACCTGGGCCGACCTTGGTTGTGAACCTATTTTTGTTGTTGAGGTTTCTCCAGGGAAAGTAGTGGATTCATAATGTCCCTCATGTGGTCCTTGATTACCATATACACTGGAGGAAGATCCTAAAGAACAAAACTATCCATTAGGCCAAATATAGTTAGAGAATATTTAACACTGAGGTACAAAGTCTATGGCTTCCACAATTAAAAAAACATATTCTAGAAAGTGCACGCTGAGGTCATCAAGAAGTATTTATACTTAAAAATATCACATAGACTGTAATCATCATACTCATCTGAACCATGGCTAGTTTTAGTCTTTTGAATAACAAAATTCATGGTTTTCCCCTCTTGTCTCTCTCACAGGTTTCAGATATAGATTATGTATTATGTTATACTTTCATGAACCAAAATGCAACTGTAATTGCCTAGAAATTTTATGGAGAAAATGTAAAGACACGCGAAAGTTGGCAATTTTTGAAGAGGTCTTTGTCATACAAGTCAAACACTTTCTCTGTTCCATGGGGAAAGGAGAGTGAGAAAAGATGAGAGAGAGAAAAATAATTGTACTTTTTTATTTAAACCTGAAGTGGCCAACATGGAGAAATTTTTAAGTTTTAAATTCTCTACCTACATAGGATAAAATTGAAGTTCTAAACCCCTAATATTTTCATAAAATAGAAGGATATTCTCTAGATGGTTCTAAATTTGATAACTTAGAGGTGCATCACCTTGTCTTTTTTAATAAGTTCTACAATTTGATTCTAAAATGGTATTAGATCTTAAATCAAAATACATACTTTCAGTCTCAATTATTTGCTATGCTGGCCATACCACTTGAACTTTTATGTGATTACATTTCTGTCCCATGCTGTTACCATATGGGTATTCCAAGTCTAAAATTATCAGCAGACCATAGATACAGTGATTTCATTTGGGACCACTACTTCATCATCACTATAAAAGAGATATTACAGATCTCCACCTCTCTGAGATCTTCCAGACTGTTACAGAGCAAATTAAGTCCTTACTCTAATCAGCTGTAAAGTTAGTTTTCTTTTTCTTTAACACACAAAGCTCATTTCTAGCCAGCATTTCTGATCTCATTTCCAAATAGCAGCTGGCAAATACAAAACTGAGAAACACATTTTTTTCCCTCTGTTAAGCTTCGCCAGCAAGTAGTTCACAAATCTTCCATGTGTTTTCATTATTTTTATTAACAAGAAACTTTCTGACCAGTGAGTTTGCTTGTGCTACATCACCACTAATTCAGCAACTAAGGGTCCTGATCTAGCCTCCAAGAAAGCTGACCAAGAGGAACATGCTCGCTTCTCCACCCCACATTTCAGCATTTTTTTTTTAGGTGCTTTATATCATCCTTGAGAAATGCCAGAGATTTTCCAACACAAAGTCCCTTATAAAGGCACTCAGATATTTATTACAATCTGTGTGCTTAGAGAACTGCTACATTCTCCCTTCCCCTCCCCTGAGCACTGATGAGAAGCAACGGACTCAGTCATGTCCCCTGCTGTTCTGGCTCTGGGAGGTGCTTGCAGGTCGAAAGTGCTCTACATTTCATTTTGATGACATACTAGATTTTTTTTTCTTTTTGGCAGTTAATTTTTGGGTTCCTTCAGTGGACTCATTTGTATTTCCATGGACACTTGGACAACATATTATGTCAGATCACAGCTTAAACATTGCTCTAGAGAAAAAACAAATGAAAGAAGGACTATAGTACATCAAGCCATTCATTTATTTGGAGAAAGCCTTTAACTATAGTCTACCAATATATAAATGAATCTTTTCCATTCCATCACAGATATATGGGCAGTGTTTGAAATGAATGAACCCTTCAATAAATAAAACCTTTTAATGATGATGGTTGTCCAAGTAATTGCCTTCTACTGTGTTTGTAAAAAGCACCAAGAGAAGATAAAAAAATAAGAAAGAGTTTTGGGAGTATGGCCTTATGAACCTTTGCCAGGGCACTGACAACACAAAGATTCAACACAGACATTCACCTTGAAAATGATCTTCAAACCAGTTCTTACAGGTTTTATATGCTCAAAACAGAAAGGTATCAAACATGTTTTCATAGTGTGTAATGCTTGCACATAAAATTAAGGAGGCAGCTTGGATTAAATTAAGTTAATAGGGTAACAGAAGTCAAGAAATGTTTTTGTTGTAGTAGGAAACCATTATTAAAAATAGATTTATCTTTCTAATAAAATTATATCAAATAGATATTTTGGATTTACACTGCTGTGCTTATGTCAAAATACTATAACTCAGGCAATTTTGATGTGCTTGACTTCAGTGGGTTTATATAAAATTCTGAAAAAAAAAGAAGGTAGGCCACATTCTACCTGACAATGTATGAATTATAAAAATATAGGTACACAATCTTGCTTATGTGCAAAGAATGTCCACAGAGCATTGGCCAAAATCTACCCTGGGATGGTTCCACTAACGTTCAAGAAAGTGCATTAAAACAGTATTTGATTTAGTGTGCATAAGAAGTAGCATTTGGAAAAAAACTTACGGTTAGGATAATTATCTGTATGGAAATTGCATTTGGGAATAAGGAAAAGTCCCTTCATTTCCCGTACTATTAGCATGTGACCACACACACAGAAACTGAAAGGCTATGTGTACTGTAGTAAGTAAACACTGTTACTGTTAACTACACTAAGTCTATCAGAAGAATAACCCTTTAAAACAAAAGTCGTTCACAAATGAAATGTCAGTTACAGCCCAGTAACATACCTAAAATTAATCAATGGGCAAGACACTAACAGCAAATAGAGCTAGGAAAAAAGGTTTCATAGAGAATTAACTTTCTTTTGATACATATTCAAATAACGTAGGGAATATGGATAGCAGAAAAAAGTGACAGATGTTTAAGAGTTACGTAACTATAATTTGGGCTCAGAAAAAAAGAAAGGCAAAATGCTATCTGGAAGGTAAGGGGTTGATGAGAAAGTTTACACTTGTTCACTATAATAGTTGTGTTAACATAAACAGGTAACAGAAGAAAAGATTATCTGAAAACCACATTTTCAAGCTTTAGCAAATGTCCTCTGCTTTGCAGAGAGATTTCCCTTAACCACACCTTATAAGCGGGCTATAAACAATAACAAAAACCAAAAAGGAAAACATAATATGACAATAATTTACTATTATGGTTAGTAGTCATATATTTGGACAGTTGCCATTGTCCAGAATAATAAATGACTGATGGATAAATGAAAATGCTTGCAATCTGTATTTCTTACTAGTAGGAAGAGGGGTCTGCAATTGGTTAAGGTGGTCTTCAGTATCTGGAAAAACTCGAGGTATCCAATTCACATGGGAACCTTCTGTGGTGGCTGTTTTTTCACTTTCACTTCCAGGTGGGGTGCCAGCTGCCAGTGGCTCCTTGGTTGCTGTCTCTTGGTTAACATCATCCAAGGACTCTGTGACTGCCATGACGGTGGCATGGTCAACTTTGAAAGTGAGTGGTCATAAAACCACCACCCACATTATTTCCCTTTTTCCTGCACCGCAGCAAGCCAGAAAGCACTCCATCTTCCTCATTCAAAGCACAGAAGGAAAGAAGACACGAAGGCCTCCCCTTCTTCTTCCACACTGTCACTTGGCTTCTGAGAGACCCTTAAGTGCCACATACATGCCCACCGTGTTGGAGGGAGACCTTGGCTGCATACACAGATCCCAGTGACAGATGGAGAGGGAAGACCTTCAGAAGAAGAGACCACAGCAGCAGCAACCCGACCCTGTAGCTCAGGAGTGAGTGGCCGTACTGCAGCCAGGTCTTTCCTGGCAATTCACCAGTGAAGAGGAGTAATGAACTGAAGGCAGAATTTATGGGACATAAGTCTTCTACCACTGCCCTGCCCTCACCACTGGGACAGCTCTCCCCAGAGCTGCTGCTGCTGCTGAGTCACAGAAGCAAGCCACCTCATTAACCCACCAGAGCACCTCCCCTGCACCAACCGTGGTGCCAAAGCATATCAAGCCTAAGCCCCACCGATGCGCAGGAAAGGAACATGGGGCTGGGGATTCATAACCACCAAAGCGTGTATCCTGCAGAACAGTGAGGAGGCCACCAAGAAACTTTCATCAGTAAAGGACAGAAACCACCAGGTGTACCAGCAAGGGGTCCCTTATGCCTTGTCCAGGAGGTAATTCTATCAACAGCACAGATCCCACCACAGATTATTGCACTGCAAGTCCACACCAAGAATGTAGAACCCCAGGATGAGAAAGACAGGGAAAGAACTCGATTTCAGGAGAAGCAATGCCTCATTTCACACCAGGTGTGAGAAATGAGCATGATCCATCGTTCTTACTGGTACCCGTCAGAGGAGAGTCGTCACCAGCTTTGTTCGTACTGGCTGTGGCCCCATGGAGGACGTCATGGCCAGGGGCATCTGTGGGATGCGTGATGCCTTCAGTGCCCTGTCCTGGTTCATTATCTGAGGGCAGAGGTGGCTGGGTGGGGTCTTCGTGGTGGGCACCATCAGGAGAGGAAACAGTTGTTACCATGACGATGATTTAATCAACTGTGAATTACATACGTGTGCTGCCACACCCCTCCCATCCCCACCACCTTCAAGTCTCCTGTTCACTTTTATCCTCTGCTACCCTGGTCTCACTACAAAGGGGAAGAGAGAGCGACCCCCTGTCCTTCCATACATCATCACTGCTCTCTCAGTATATTGACCAGATATTTTCATGTGCTAATGTCATCCACTTTTTTTTTTTTTCCTTAATCCAAAAGTTCCCCAGGGAAAATGGACACATGGAAAGGACATAGCAGTATAATAATAATTGTGTTTAATTTGAAGTCGTTGTAAGACTAGTTTTCCTCACAGAATCAGCGTCAAAGTTAGGCATTACTGATAGATTTTACCTTTAAGAATTACTCTGTGACAGGTGGTTTAGTGAACCCACCATTCACCTTGTTCTACTCTTCCTTATTTGCAGAGTACAATTTATGGTTTTATTCTAATTGGATCATAAACAATAAAAGGAAACAGGCTTTGCTATTTATTTTCAGTGTTATCAGCTTTCCAGCTTCGTAACCTAAGCTCTTCTGCTTTTTCAGAATAGCCGGCTAA